TACTGAAACCTTGCGATCAAGGAACATTTCATTAGATTTTTTAGTTCTTACCCTGTTCTTCCCCTTGCTCATCTGGATATGCCATGTTTCCTAACTCCTGACCTCATCATCTTTGATTTGCTGGAAATACATGGTTTACAGTTGAAAGGGGGCAAAGGAGGGAAAAGAGTTATTTTTCTTTGTTGGTGAGATAGGCAGAACTTTGGAGATACTGTAACTGACTTGAAAACAATCAAGTTTCCCAAGCAGACACAATCTGATACATAAATGTGTTTTCAGAGAACATCTTATTTGCAACTTTGAAAATTGTGCCATCACCCATCCGTAAGTGCACTTCATTACGGCACAGGCCACTCTCCCCACAACACGGAAGTGTTACACACCCCTTGCGTCATACTCTTCTTCTTCCCATTGCCTTCATGTCCTCCTAACTTCCCAGCATTTTATGCAATCTTTGTGACTTTTTCCTCAGTGAAGTTTTGTGTGTCCATTGGGTTATAAACACTTTTAAGAAATACAAAACCAAGAAATAGGTATGTGGATTTTAAGTCATCTTTTTTTAAAATACATACTAAAATATTTAAAATAAAATTGTATGAGCTTGAGAATTACTTCAACCTAATCTTGTTAGGGAACTGGGGGAACTATAGATGAAACAAGATGGGTCATGAGCTGGTAACTGTTCAAGTCAGGTTAGATGTACATGGAAGTTCATCATTTTACTCTCTCCAATTTTGTGTGTCTTTTTAAGCTTTTTATTCTGAAAAGCTTAAAAGACACAAATACCATGATTTCATTACTTCAGTTAATAACACACTCAGCCCTTTCCTTTGAATTAATATATTTTTATTAGATATCTTTTTGAGTTTTTATAGTCATTAAAAAATAATGTCTAAATTAACCAAACATAATGCCAGACCTTTGTATTTCTATCTCACAAAACTTAAACCAAAATTATCCAACTTAATAAAGCCAATTTAATCACATTGATCTCACTAGATATTATAAACATGTTTAGAGAAAGCAAAACATTTAATTTTAACAAAAGTAAAATTTTATTTTACAAATACTATTTAATTTTTATCATCATTAAAATTTTTACTATGGGTCTTTTATCATTTAGTGGTAAATGTGTAGGTTTAAGAAATAAATAAATAAATGTACATAAATGGGGGCAACATGCTTTAAAAAGCTTTAAGCATAGGGACCACACTCCAGTGTGTGGAGACCCCTGCGCATGACAAAACACCACAGGGGGAGCTGTTACTTCTTTGTCTTTGCATCTCTCAGTTATGGCAGTAAGGTTGGCACATATTTCACACTCAATACAGTTTGCTGAATTTAAAAAAAAAAAAAAAGGCCACTTTGGAGTGGCATAGAATGAGAATTTTAGAACTAGAAAAATAAACTGAAACCAAACTCCTCATTTTCCAACAAGGAGACAGGTTTAGGAAGGTTAAATCACACAGCTAATGGAAGTATGGTGAAAGAAATGTTTTAGGAAGATTGATCTGACATAGATCTATGGGATGCTTCAGAGGAGAAAAAGACTAGAAGCAACAGTACGTGTTAAGAGACGATTGCAATCATCAAAGCATGCAGTAATGAGAGTGTAAACTGGGATGATGGGAAGGGAATGAGAAGCAGAGGAGGATCTGAAAGACATTGAAAATGCAACCCTTGGCACTGCTTTTTCACTGTCAGTAAGATTTAATCTTGACCTATTTCTACACAAGCTGGTATCAATCATGATACCCAGATATTTTTACCCATGGCCCAAACTGCACAAAAAAGGCATAATTAGCAATTCTTTGACTCATCTAGGGCCTCTGAGAGTGATTCATACCCTTCGCTACACAATTATCTACCATAAATATAGTTTAACCTCTGTCTATTCCAAGCAATGATTCTTTATAATATCCATCTGTATGCTGCTTGCTCTATTGCTATAGGATTGAGTCCAGTCTCTTTATCTTTTGAGAACCTCCATATTTTTTTCTCCTCCATCTAAGATAATCAATCTTCACATTGTTCTGTAATGCAACAGTAAGGAATCTTTCAGAATCAGGATAGCAAGTTTTATTTATCTTCCCTAAACATGCTAAGATCAAAGATTCATTTGAGTTAACTTCATCTTTTGAAATGGACATATAATAAATGTTTTCAAAAAGAAAAGCTAGTTGATTTCTTTTGTTCAAGACCAACAACCCCGAAAAAATCAAACTTTTGGTTGTAGTAGGAAAGAAAATAATTTAGAAACGCCCAGGGGATAATGGGTAAGAAAGGCCAGGATAAAATCTGGACAGGCAGAAGGCAATCACTGGGAGAGGGTTTCTGACATGCAAAGGAGATCAGGGTGGGGTGTGTGGGGATACCGGAAAAGAGGCATAAACACCCGAAAAGACAAACGTGTAGAGGGTCAAGAGAGCTGACAGTTGTTCCACATGTTGGTGGAAATACTGCATGACCCCCTTGTGGCCCTGAAGCCACTCAAGGCCAGACCTAAACAGTTCTTCTGCTCCAAGCCATGCAAACACACACCATATCTAGTTTTCTCCTATGCTTTCAACCCTACAGTTCCTCCAGCCTTTGAGGATCCTACCTATCCAAACCTTTCTCACTTTCCAAGTTCCAGATCAAGTCTCCTCTCTTCCCTAGTTGCCCTTCTGACTGCTCTAGTCAACCACACTCCTCCTCCTCTGTATAACAGTTAAATGCCATCTTGCATTGTTTTGAATTCAGGCCTGGCCTCCAGGAAATGTGAAATCCCTTGAGAATAGTTTTTCTGTCATGTAACTTATGTCCCTCCTACAGAAAAGGAGCACACAGTAAGGGAATTAAGAATGATATTTTGGAACTACCAGTGTTTCTATTCTGTTTTTCTCCAATTATCATTTAAAACAGCATAGATCTTATAGTTTTAGAAGCAGTTCCTTATTTGGGAATTGGTTTATAAACTACATAGTTGAAAATACATCCCAGCCAAGGATGTATATTTTTCTCTACAGCTGATAATGAAGAAATGAACAAAGCCAGAGCCTAAAAAGACCATTATAGTCAATGCACTTAGACAAATGTCAGCAGCTGCCAGGGAAGATTTCATACTTAGAATGGTTAGTTGGGTAGAGATTGGTTCTATTATAAGAATTTGTTTCCTCTGCAAAAGAGAAGTTTGAATATATTAAATCTTAATAAGAGTTCTACAGGCCTGGGCACATAATGGGGAAAAAAAAAAAAACAAAACCAAAACCAAAACCAAAAAACCTAATTACAAAGGACAGATTTCCAAGTACATTCAAAGATTTTCAGCAAAATAATTTAAAATGAGGTTTTTGTCTTAAAAAATAAACTATATGTATTTCTGTATGTTTGATACTCAAAGAATGGAAATAGGCACACAAGTTTCATTTGTGCCATCTATTTTTTTTTTTTTACTTATTCATACATTCACTCATTGAATGTCTATATGTGCTAGGCATTGTGCCAGGCCAAAATAAGATAGCCTTTCCCAAAAGGATGTCAAACTGTGGGATAAATACAATGTTTTTAAATATGCCAAATGCTCTAATGGGAATATGCACCATGACTAATAGATGTGGGGTTTCATTAAATGGGTAGAGGAGCTGGGTGAATTAAACAGTATGTATATACCTAACACCACCATTTTAACTATGGTTTCTGGAAATCAAGACTATACTACAAGATAAGCAGAAGATAAGGTTTCAGTCAACCTCATTTGTGATCTGAGGGCGGGAGTAAGCCAAAACTGGAAGAAGGTAAAAATGACATCTGTGGTGAGTCTACAACGTGCCCAGCCATTTGGCTAATCACTTTCTACAGAATATCTCATTTAATCCCCCAACCCCAAACCATGACAGAGTTGTTTACAGTTGAGAAAACTGAGGTTCAGAGAGATAAACTAATTTACCCCAAATCACAGCTATCATCCTAGTACAGACAGGATTCCAACCCTGTGGTCCGGCTCACAAACGTGTACAATGAGTCTCATCTACTTACTTCTTGCCCGGAAAAGCACATCGAAAGTGCTTTCAGCAACAGGGGGAAAAGTGAGGAAGATCTGACTGCAGATTTAGACAAGTTGGCTAAGAAAAAGGGAGCAAGAACTAAGGGCAGATCATGACAAAATGATCCGAGAATTAAGTGGTCAAATTAGATTTAGTGTGGCACTTGTTTTTGGTTTTGGGTTTTTGTTTTACAAACTTCAACATGGCAGTGATCATGTGGTCAAGATCCTGGCACCTAATTTTTAGCTGTTTAAATTACTGCATGTCCAAGTAAAGCTTCTAATGGCTAAGGACATTTCAGAGGCTGAACACAGTTTTTTAAGTAAATGCACTCTGAAAAGTAAAGACCAAAGAATGGAGGATCAAAAGCTGCAAAACAAAGGTCTCTGCTTAAGGCATGTGCCTCAGCTAAGTCATTTCTTATGACCAATGGAACAACCAGGACTGAGGTATTATTCTAAGCCTGCAAAAGGGAAAACATTGTGACTTGGGGTAGGTGTTCTGCTGCATCTGCCTTGGTCCCAGATGGGATAATAGATAACACTTTACTAGAACAGAGTTTAAATTCAATATTCAGCAAATAGTGATTGCCTGAAATAGAGTGGCTTTGTTCTGGAGTTCATTAGAAAATACTTCATCAAAGTTAGAAGGCTGGGATAGGATATGATTTAGCAAAAATGAAAGAGCAGTCAAGAATATAAGAATAGGAAGGATGAACAAGACAGATGGGGAAGACACTTTTTTTTTTAAGTTTGCCAGTTTTGCAAGATGAAAAAGTTCTGGAGATGGACATAGTGATGGTTGCCCAACAACATGAATATCCCTAACACCACTGAACTGTATACTTAAAAATGGTTAAGATGGCGGTGTTGTGTATATTTTACCACAATTAAAAAATAAATCTAAACTTTGCTTAGTTATTTAAAGTAAGATAAGTAGAACACGCACACATTTTTATTAAAAACATTTTTAAAAGTTTTTGTTTACTAGAAGCGGGGCGAGCTAATTGATGTTATTTTAAATGGCCTGTGGAAACAGTATTTGCAGCTTGTGAAGACTTCAGAATACCATGACATAATTTTAAGAAATTCTTAACGTGCGTAGGCTTGTGGAATTTAGAGCAAATGTAGTTTTCAGGAATATGCAGATTTTTCAGTTCCACGCCCCAACTTCTTCAGAGTTGGGATTACACTCTTAAGATCATGTCCATCAGAAAAGCAAACTACACAATTTAGGACAATTATTGTCCTAAGCCTAGCCCACCCATTCGTGCTTGCGCCTCGAGCCCGCAGCGCCCACTAAATACTGGCTTCCCCCCAGTGAATGACCCACTTTCCTCACGAAAAAGGTAGGACCTTCCTACACAATACGGGAACTATTTCATCTTCGACTGGGGAGGCCACTTTGGGTTCTGTTTCGACCGCTTCCCAGTCACCCGGCCTCCCTGAAGAAATTCTTCCGAGGCTCCGAGATTTACGAGTGCAGCCACCACAGAACGCAGGCTGGAGGGGCCGGGCGGAGGCCGTCCAGATCTCGCGAGATACACAGCTGCGCGGGAGTTCTCGAGTCCGGCGTTCCGTGGTGGACTGCGCCGGACTCTGTGATGGGGCGCTTCCGCAAAGATGGCGGCCGCTGCGGCAAGAGGCGCTTGGCTGGCGGCCTGGGGCGGAAGACTGCGGCGTGGGATCGCTGCTGGTCGGCGAGCTTGGCCCGGCCCCGGCCCCTTGACCGTGGCAGTGGCCGGTGTGGCCCTGGCAGGCACAGGAGTGGCATGGTACCATGGCCGCATGAATGTCGTGGCACCCGAGGGCAGCCTCACCGTCTTAGCACAGGTACGGAACCTGTCCCTTTCGCCAGGCTAACCAAGCTCCTCCGTCCTCAGACTCCCGGTGGTGGAGCGGGCGGTCCCAGCTCCTCTTCCCGAGTCCAGGTAGGGGCACCGCTGCGGAAGACCCAGGACAGGTGGTAAGTGTTTCTTCCTCGACTCGGACCCCACCGCGCTCCCCGAGGGCATTCGAGGCCAGTGCAGCGATTGAGCCTTCGCCGGGAAAATCCCGCGAAAGCCGAACACACGAAGCCCACGACAACAGATTTGCGGCGATGGGTGTGGGCGTGTCTTACTTCAACACTCTTAATTTGCGGATTTCTCGCTAAACGGTTTTGGTGAAGTGGTTCTCAGATCTGTAATTGGTGTGTGTCCAGTTTCCCCACCTGGACGTACCTTTGTTAACCTTTATAACTAAAGCCTTTACGACTGGTTCTTTGTATGGTATGATGAAGTTGTCCTAATAGATGATTTTTTTATCATAAAAATGTCAATCATAAAAATTAGCCGGGTGATAATTTCCAGATTTTATGATCAGCTATAAGGACATGATTATAAACCTTAATGCTTCAGTGGACTATAAGCACTAAACAAAACACGTTTCTTTTAAAATTTCCATGTACTAAAAGTAAAAGTTACCTACTTAGATATAAAATTGTCAAGTAAAGTATTTGAAAATTTGAAAGTACTACTTTTTAGATACTTTATGGACTTTTCATTTTAACAAGTTTTAGTGTGTGCATTGTTTTGAAAATTAGAAGCAGTGTTCTGTTTGTTTTTACACTATACCTTTCTAATGAAAAACCCAAGGAACAATCAGATAACAATGAAAGAGAGGAAAACAGGCCTTGAGAATTAAAGTTAAGCATTGACAAATGATATATTTACTTGTATTAAATTAAGGTGCCACATAGATAATACATGTAACAACTCTTTCCCATCCTCTTACCATTTCTGATCATAGGTGAAGGATCTGTCTTGTGGTATTTTATAGGATTTTCATTCTTCTGGTGCCAAGGATTCAAGTTATTCATCATTGGTTTCTCTCTTCTCTCGGCCTCTTAATTCATCCTGTTTAGGACCCTTTGGCTAATCATCCCAAGTATATCACATAATGTACCCTTCTTTAGAAACCATTAGTGCCTCATTCGGCCTAGGATAAAATCCACATTTAAAAATTTTGTCATTCAGAGCCTTTTGTAGTAACACTCCAACCTATCACAACTCATATATACCTTCCAATCAAAGTGATTCACCCAGAACATGACTTCAGTTTTATCCCCTCAGCAATTTGTAGATTCTGATTTCAGTTAATCTGTCTCATTGTTTTGTTCTGGCCCACTTCTAGCCTACTTGTGTTTTAAATTCCTGATATGACATTAAAAACTTTACACCAGTATATTTGAATTCTCTCCAGCTCTCTCCCCTCCCCCAACCTGTAGTACTTTCAGCCTAGAAACCATTTTATTATCCATTGGTTTTGGGGGGGGGGGTTGTTTGTTTGTTTTTTGAGAGAGAGCAGGCATACATGAGCTGGGTGAAGGGGAGAAAGAGAATCTTAAGCAGACTCCACACCCAGCGAGGAGCCCTGGGCTCAGTCTCACTTACCTGAGATCAGGACGTGAGGCAACTCACTAGTCGATAGCTTAACTGACTGAGCTACCAAGGCACCCCCCATTTTATTACCATTTTTTAACAAAGTCTTTTGACACAGCATCTGCTGTTGGACCAGTTCAAAACAGTGGTTCTCATCCTTCTACCACCATAGTAGACTTGAAGATGACCATACATTCCTCTCAGCAACAGTGGCTTAGTACAGCAAGCATTGAGGGGCATATAGTTTGAAATCTCTGCCACCATCTCGGCGATTCTGGTAATACTTCCCTAAAAGGAGGCCTGTTAATCCCTCTACCACAACCACCACTTTGGAGTCATGTGTGCATAGTTGAGAATCACTGACAGATACATACCATCTCTTGATACAGGTTTATATATTGGTATAGTTATTTTACTTAGTATTGCAAGGTGGTAGAATCTTCCTGATATAGATTTTTAATAATAGTAATAATGACCTTCATTTTCAGTCATCACACCAGGTCAGTTTTCCAGTAAAAATAGGGAATTTATGATCCTTGAATCCTACACTTTCATGGTTCCGTTGTGACCAACAGCTTGCATTTGTGAGGATCAATCAGAAACTAAGAGTAGAAATCAAGGTCATAAAACAGCAAATAAATTAGAGTTTCCCTTCTTTCTTTCCCTCCCTCCACAGTTATTGAAGTGCCTACCCTCTGCCAGGCAGTATGCAAGGAGTGGAGATTCGAAATACAGTTCAAATGCTTATGGTTTAATGGGGGAGGGCAATTTTAATACAGGTTGGTAAATGCTGTGGTAAGGGTAAGTTCTGGGTGCTATGGGAACACAGTGGAAGAGCACCTAACAGTCTTGGTTTCCTGAAGTAATGATAGGTAAATAGACACCTATAGGATGATGGGGAGTTTGCTGGGCAAAGAGAATGGGAAGAATATTACAAACAAAGAGTATATTGCAGAGTTCTGAAGATAAGAGTTTGACTCAGTAGAGTGTGAGCTGCAAAAGATGAGGTTCAAAACTGGGGATGAGTGGTGGCAAAGAATCATCAAGAAGTGCCCCTTAAGGGGCGCCTGGGTGGCTCAGTCGTTAAGCGTCTGCCTTCGGCTCAGGTCATGATCCCAGGATCCTGGGATCGAACCCTGCATCGGGCTCCCTGCTCAGGAGGAAGCCTGCTTCTCCCTCTCCCACTCCCCCTACTTGTGTTCCCTCTCTCGCTGTGTGTCTCTCTGTCAAATAAATAAATAAATAAATCTTAAAAAAAAAAAAGTGCCCCTTAAGCCATATGACAGAAATTTTTATCTTGAGGATAACAGGGGCACATTGTAGGGGCTCTTAACCTTCCTATACCCCAAAAGATCCAGACATAGAATTCAGGGAGTCTGTGAACTTAAATAAAAAAAGATTACTTTCTTTTTTATTAACCTATAATTTACCATTTTCTTCAGTTATGCCACTATATAATGTTATTTAATGCATAAAGAATTACAGATACTTCTATATCACAAATTTAGCTTTGACCTTTGGAAAGAGTATCGAGACTTCAGTGAAGAGAATGAATTGAAAACTGGATGAGGGAGCTATTGTAATAATTCCAGAGAAAGATGATGTTGGCTAAATTAGTGGATGAATTTGAAAGACATTTAGAAGATAAGTTTGCAAAGAATCTTGAGTTGCAGATGTTATATAAAATATGATAGTGTTTTGCAACAAAACATTTTATCCTACAGATCCTTAGAGAATTTGCTTTGGAGCACATGAGCGTATTAGTTACTTTTTTGTAAACTGCTTCTTCTGAAACACTTAAGAATATTTGAAAACCATTCTAAGATTTTACTATTACCCCCTTTACAATATTATTTTAATTGATTCTGGCATAGTAAAATCAGATAAGAAATGTTGGAAAGGGAAAGACAAAAAGTATTATATTATTCCAATCCATTCTTCTATAAAAGGGTAGCTGCATTGTTCATAAATAGTGATTTAGGGGCACCTGGGTGGCTCAGTCAGTGAAGCGTCTGACTTTAGCTTGGATGGAGCCCCATGTTGGGCTCCCTGCTCAGCTGGGAGTCTACTTCTCCTTCTCCTTCTGCCCCTCCCCTGCTAGTACGCTTGCTTGCTCGCTCTCAGTCTCTCTCTCAAATAAATAAAATCTTATAAAAAATTATGTTTAAAAACATAAGGCTATTTCAGTGGTGAAAGCAGTTAGGAGCTAGAGTTTTAGAGTTGGAATGGCAAAATTATTTTCTTCCTGCAGGTATTTCAGTAGCAAAAGTTTTAGAGCTATTATCGTATTTTGTTTTCACAAGCTAGAAATAATATATTGATAAACTGCAACTGATGAAAACAAACAAATTTCCATAGCACTAAGTAAATCTTGAGTGCCATGTCAGATCAGACTAACTATAAAGCTTTTTTGAACCATGGGTATTATAAATCATTGTAATAATAAGACCTGAAACTGGGGGGGAGAGGGGGAGTAAAGAGAAAGCTATAAAGCCAAAATAAAATGCATTATACTTCACAGTTGACAAAACAGTAATAGTATTTTATTTGTGTTGTTTGTTAATTGTATCAGTGTTTCATTTATTCTCTAAATGTGTTTTTTACCTTATCTTAATTTTCAGATTATTTATGTGATATTGGATACTATATGTCTCCCAGACTTCATAATAGGATTTTTTTGGTTTGCTTTTAATGAAAAATTTAAGAATCATATTTAAAAAGTGAAATTATTGGGACTCCTGGTGGCTCAGTTGGTTGAACGTCTGACTCTTGATTTTGGCTCAGGTCATGATCTCAGGGTTCTGAGATCGAACCCCTCATTGGTCTCCACACTCAGTGGGGAGTCTGCTGGAGATTCTGTCCCTGCCCCTCTACCACCACCCCCCACCCCCTGCATGCTCACATGCATGGGCTTTCTCTCTCTCTCTCGAATGAGTAAATAAATCTTTTTTAAAAAGTAAAATTAATTTTGTATAACCTAGTCTGTAAAACTGTATAAATGTTTATTCTAAATAAATTTAAATATCTTATACAGTTTCCTAGGTATTAGATTTCCTTTGATATGTTTATTTGTATATATTTATAAATCTTTGAACTTTTCCCCAATAACAGTTTTTTCTTTCATAGGACTTACTACTCTCTGAAGTTATTTTATCTATTTGTTTATTTTGCCTTCTCCCACTAGAATGGTCTCTTGGTCTTTTTCATCTCTGTATATTTACAGTCATGTGATGGCACATAATAAATGTTTATTCAAAGAGTAAATGAATGAACTGCACTATATGACAAAATGACCTTGTCTAACTTTTGTTTGATTGGCATTTATAGAAATATTAGACAAGCAGTATCCAAAAATGGTTAGAATCAGCTAAGTTACTAAATGTTCTATATATACTCAATTACACACTTCAA